ACAAAATCACGCGTCAGAAAACCACGGCATCGAAGCATGCTGCAAAAAAATTGGGAAACTTGACAAACCAGAAAAACTTACCCAAATGCCTCTTCACAATCTCATACACTGCCTCCCCAAGCACCTTCTCATCCTCATCCTCCCCCTCGTACATCACTTCACCAAGCTCCACGCCATTGTCCTGCTCGTCATTGCCCCTAATCACCATAAAACACACCCCCTTCAGCACATACCCAGTAACCGGCAGCCGCAGCTCAGGCACCGGATTATTCATCATAAAACAACTTGCAGCCTGTGGGCCCACCTAGACCAAGTATTCTCTCCACTCTTTTAAATGCCCTCCCTTCACCACCAAACTTCCCTTCCCTTCAGTGTCCCTAATCACAATCCTCTCCAGAAAACAGTGGTGCCTCACGAGCAAGCTCAGCATGAAAATCCACTCCGTGGAGCACTTGACAGGCTGGAAAACGGCCCTTAGGTGGGCCATCGACAAGCCGAAAACTGGTTTTCCAGTCTGGACTCTTCTTCGTTTTCTATCTTGCTGATCGAGCTAGCCGCTAGGGACACTATGCTCTCGACCCCAGCCTTGCCTTCTTTGTACTTAGCCTTCCACTTGATGAATGGGGAGCCCGAGAGAAAAACCGGGCTATATGGTATCCAGGTTAATGGATTTGAGTTCTTTGAAATTTTGAAGGAATAAAGAGAACTTGAGCTCTTGAATCGGGCATGTGTTGGGTTTCCTCATCGAGCGAACCGAGCATCAGATGAGGGATGTGATAGATGTCCTCGACTGATACGATTGCGTATTTTTTTAGTTTCAAGAGAGTAATGGAAACGGATTGAACGCAGAATGTGGTAAAGTCAAACCGCTTTGAGACCAGAGAACATGGGAACAAATGTTTCAAGTCGTCCAAACGGCTTAGTATCGACAGGAGTAATTCATCGAGCAGGCGTTCGAAGTGGTCGACATTGCTAGCTTGCTGACTGTTTTTGTTTTTCGGCTTCAACATATTGGTTGTTGCTGGTTTTTGTGCAGGGAGCTGTAACAAGAGAATTTTCAAGAATGAGGTACTTGGCAAAGCAAAATGGTATTCCATGTGAAGGGGTGTTTCCATTCAGTTGAACGTTTACTGAATTGAATGCAAATTTTCGAGATAGGGTCGGGGTGGCTCCAATTGAGGAGAAATTGGTTCAACATCGGTTGAGGTGGTTCGGACATGTCCAACGGAGGCCTCCTGATGCACCGGTGCGTAGGGGAGTTCTACAGCGGGTCGAGGATGTTAAGAGAGGTAGAGGTCGGCCTAAACTCACTTGGGAAGAGTCGGTTAAGAGAGACCTTAAAGATTGGAATATATCCAAGGATTTAGCGGTGGATAGGAGCGCTTGGAGGCTCGCTATCAACGTGCCAGAACCGTGACTTTTGCTCCTCTCTCTCTCTCTCTCTCTCTCTCTCTCTCTCTCTCCCGTTTATTTTATTATTATTATTATTATTTTTTGTTTTCTTTCTTTCGATCTCTTCCTTTTGGTTTGAGTCTTTTTTGTGTTTCCCCTGGGTTTCATCTCTAGCCTACCCCGACTTGCTTGGGACTAAAGGCTATGTTGTTGTTGTTGTTGTTGTTGTAATGTTGAAAATATAATAGATGATGTGAGATTGGGATGATCGGTTCAGTTATATTTATTTTCACCATACTATTAAAGGATATGATGAATATGATACACGAATAAAAAAACAATAACTACTCTGGATTGAGTTGGATCAAGATGAAAAATCAAATTATTCCACAACCACGTGAATGGTGAAAATTAATCAAAACAGTACTTTCATGCTTAACAAATCCATTAGGACAAAATGAAAAGAAAACTGAGTCCAAAATAAATTCTAAGCTTTACCTCACTTCAAATTACTTGGGCCAAACCTGATCGTGCATGAACATTTACATCTAATGAGTATCAAATTCCCAGAGATGTAATGTCTCCAAATAATTTTAGAGGCATGCCATTAGTGCAAGAAACACCACACGTGAGTATCAATAAATGATCAATCTTACAATAATTTTCAGATAAAGAAAACTTTTTCTGCCCCTTCGTGTCAATAGATCTGAAACAATGCAGTAAAATTTCTCCTGAAAAGGTAAAGATGAAACATCTTTCGGCAAAGCGAAGGTCATTGATGTCACAGACATTCAAGGAAAGAAATTTTCAATCAATCTCTAGAGAAATCATAACAACCAAAACGAGAAACAACAGATGATCAACTAACATAAACCATGACTTATTTCCATACGAATATCAAAACAAAGTAATCATAATGGACAAAATAAATTAGAACTATTGCCTCTTTGATCACCGATTTACTTATGAAACAGGAGCGTTCATCAGTTTCTGCAATGGAGGCGGAAAAGCACTACGTTTCTAGCTGGACTTACTCGGGCATTATAAATGAACTAATTAGGTGGCTGACGTCATTAAGCGTGTGCATTCCATAACAACCGAACACGTTTACGTGTTTATTAATGCGGTATATTCATATTTTGAACTAAGTAACCATTTTATTAGGCCACGCTGCTCTGCATTTAATTTCTTAGCTAGTATAATAATCAATGTGATTGTTCAACCTTGACAATGTTATACACTTGCATTTCTTAAAGTCAAAATACAAAACCAAAAAACTTAACTACATTGAACTATTAACCAAACATAGCCATACTAAATACATTCCCAACAAAAGCGACAAATGTTGGAACACAAATGGAAGAACTTTATAACTCAAAGACTTGAGATACCAATTTTCATACCAATTTGAGCAAAATAACAGCCACACTATAGGATAGGGCTCTAATAAAACTTTATACAATAAAGAGAACATAATTTTGCAGTGCAAACTGGGGAACAAAAGTAGTATCAGTATTGTAGAAGAAAGACCATTGCATTGCTGAGAGCTACAACATCCCCAAAGAACAAGGAAGAGATGGGAGTATAAATGCAGCTAAATAAAACCTCCATTACCTGGGAAGCATAAACATCCAGCTGCACTTAAAGCTGGTTTTAAGCAAAGTTCATCTCTAGCCACCTCCATCTTATACCTATCATGCAAAATAGAAAATCAATTTTTTTTAAGATAACAGGTTGCAAAAAGTGTGAGATCATTCATGCGAAGGTAAAATTAAAAATAAACAAACAAGAAAATCAACAAGTTAAATAACCCCAATTTTCTGAATGATATAAAGAATGGTAATGCTGGTGTTGGTTAAAGGCAACTGCTAAATCATGGATGATTGCTGTAAAGACTGTTCAAAGCCTACTGCAATAACATTTTCCCACTACCAAACACAAATAACATATTTCCACCACATTTCCAAGGCAGAATATCACGTAATAAGAAAAGAGAGCTAAGATCACAACCAAATTTGATTATAACTTATTATGACTATGCAATCTGTTATCTGTGTCAAATATCGTCCAGCATTCAACCATCAAACTTTCATATGAGTGAACGGTAAGTATTAAGTTTAAAGTTTATCAATTTATGGGAAATTCATTCAATGAATCAAAACAAAGGCCTTTCACTTATTGCTCGATCTTATTCCGATATATTCTTTTATGTCAATATGAACAAATGCAAATCCACCAGCACCGTGAGATATACGACAGTTGCAATGCATAATTAGTTATATCTCCCCAGCTTTTTGGACTTATAAGCAAGAGCAACTACAATACAACAATTACCAAAATATTTTATATTTATATTCCCATTGCAACACTACCTTAAGAACGTAACTTCCACTCATGATTACTGCTGTCATTCTAGAATAAGCATAATATCCACCAAATGTTCCCAGTTCTCCAACAAATTGTTCAGCCGAAGTAATCCAGCAATAAATCGAGCCACTTGCAACTACAAGGTGAAGATTTGAGACCAAATAAGCTAACCAACCACGGAGTCAACAAAATAAAAGTAAAAGAAGATGGAGAACATATCCAAAACAAATAAGGAAACAACTACACCTATTTTTTCAGCACACTAGAAAAAATGAGTTGAAAAATCCAAATTTTTAACAAACATTATATAATGATTTCTTTACAAGATCCAATACATCAAAATTTAGGATTATATACCCACCTCTCCATTAATATGCCGAGGCTACATGCTGCCGGTTCAATTTAGCTGGCTGGCATCGCTTACAGGACATTATGTCAGTCCCCAATGCCCACTGAAAAGAAAATACTGCAACTGCCATCAAAATCGAGAAGAAACAAAACAATCAGTTCACGCCACAACCAAAAACTTAGATCATAATCACTTAATGCATAACCATTAGCAATTGAATTGCGGTACTGTTATGCTGCCGTTTAGAAATTTAAAGACCATTCAACCTGAAAAATGAAAGGAAAACTGATGAACAAACTAATATATTGATGAGTAACTCATGGTGATTGATACCAAACAACAGAAAGGGTAAAACAGTGGAAATTGGATCAGTGATGTTTTTTTATTTTTTTTTTTCTTTGAGCTCCATTCTTCTAATTTTCTGCGCGTCTCGCCTTCTTCTCATTTTGTTTGTCAACTTTTCATCTTTGGATAAAATACCCCAACTTGGTAAAGTATAAGTTTAATGGAAAATCTGTACTTTAAACCATCCTATTTATTAAATTTAGTAGCAAGAAAAGTCAAAAGATAATTAATGCATTTTATTTCTATTATTTTTCTAATTTGTATTACTATTTTATAGCTAAAAAACCGGTCTGCATTAATTCCATCCTTAATTTGTGTTTTGCAATTGAATCGGATAGATAGACTCCAAGTAAAAACATGTCTCATTTCAAATTTAAATTTAAATCTTAAAATTTTTTATTAATTTGTTACATTAAAATCCTAAATGAATTGTTTGCTATAAAATCGGACAAAATAATAATTACATAAAATTCAAGTAAAAATATGTCTCATTTAAAATTTAAATTTTAAAATTCCTTATCATTTTGTTACATTTCCGAATGATTTGTTCCCCATAACATCGGACGAAATTAATAATTGGATAGAATACAAGTATGATTTCGAATTTATATCGAGGATGTTTAATAATTGCATAGAATTTCAAAGATGTTTATTTATTATAAAAGAAATTAAATTCTAAAAAAATATTTGTGTATATTTTGTAAAATGTTTGTACAAAATGTTTTACTTTAAATTTATTTACATAATTTAAATTAATTACATTAATAAATAATATTAACATACATTAAATATTTTAATTACATAAAACAAAAAAAAGAAGAAAACTACATCTATAACTTGTATAAATAATAATAATGATATTATATTACAATAAATTTTATAATAAAATAATATGAGTATTATACGAGTAACAAGATTACGTAAAATTGTTATTTTTCTTATATCAAGGAATAAACATATATAATGAAATCAAATTTATATTATTATAAACATGTGAGTGAGATAATATATTAATTAATTTACGGGCTAGCGCTATCAGGCTCAGGTTTAATGTCTCGACAAAAAAAATGACGTTGATGAAGGAGGTAAAAAAATAGTGACAAGCCCTATTGTCCACTAATTTAATATCTTCCGTGAATCGCACGAGCTACTTAACGGACAAGCTATGTGGAAATGACTCATTTAATACTAATGTCCCATGCATCGCACGGGTTACGTACTAGTAAAAATATAGAGGTTGATCAGGTACTGGGCCTGATAAATGACCCGACAGTGGACTAAAATTGTACATTCAAATTGGACGTGTCCAGTGTCATTAACTTGTATGGAATGGGCCAGTGTGGGATCGCTACTCCACATGAGCTGAAAGCCCATTTCAATTTAAAACTAACTTACTAAAACAAAATGAGAAAATTCCTCCCTTACTGTTGATTTACTGAATAATATTAATAATACGATATGGACATCTTTTCATCACAATTACGAACTATGTATTTAATTAATGGTAGTTATCTCATTCCATGATAATCGGGAGGAGTGATATTCTCTTTCCTCTTCCACACACAACACTAAATCAATAAAAAAATATTGTTTTTCTCTATCACACCCTCGGCTGCCGTGTAACATCTTCACAAGAAACATTGAAAGAACTTATCTTCCCTAAACACAAAAGAAAACCACTACAGACTCCATAAATCTTCATTGGCCAAGAGAAGGAAAATGAAGCCAAATCCGTCAACAGTGAAAACGAAGCAAGATTAACATGCTCCCAATCTCGTTGAACATCTCAATTTCAAGCACTAAAGCGTAAGGTCATCCAAAAGAAGCTCTTATTTCAGAAAATTCAAGATCCGAGAGGTTTCAAGAAACCGACTCCCACGACGGCCGAAGTTACCGTTTTCTTTCTCTTTCTCTCTCTCTCTCTCTCTCTCTCACACACACACACACCATCATCTCGTCTTTTTTAGAAATTATCTTTCGATTTCGGATCCATTAAGGTCCAGTTCGGCGTGGCTACGAGCGGCGGCGCAACGCACGAGGCCCTGACTGACGGAGGCTCTCGAAGGTTGATGCTCGCCTGACATGAGTGCACGGTTGCCCGGCCCGGCAGTGTGAAAGAGGTGCGATTGGCGGCAGCTGCGCCGGTAGAAGTTTATGTATTTTTTTTAGTTAATGTTATTTACATATGTCGTATTTTTTTAGAATCTCATTTTTTTTTTCGTAATGTCGAGATGTATTATGTTTATCCTGTTTCACAATTGTTTATATGTTGTTTATTTTATGTATAACTACATTCGATATGAATTCTGCAGTCATTCAAAATTGTGTATTATATTTTATATCATTTTCAGAACTGTATGTATATTGTTTATCTTATGTATAACTACACGGTTAATATTAGAGAACTGTCAGATCATGTTTATCTGATGTTTAACAAATTATATCCTAAAGGATATGTTTGCTAACATATAAACAACAGTATATATTGCGTATATATTACATATATCTTGAAACATGATATATACTTTTGTAAACTGAAGTATATTACTTGTATTTGTTTACTTATCCCCGTCATTTTTATATACAAAACATAAACGTTAAATAAACAAAAAAAAGTCAGATCACTCATAAGCATAATAAGTTATACTTAACATAAACGGTAGATAAACAAAATATTATCACACACAAGCCATTGACGAATATATTTATTTTATTTGACAAAGATTTGCTTTCTCATACCAAACATCAAATCAGTGTCAAAACTCGGATAATTCGAACTGAAATCCCCACCGGCACAGTTACATGGCCGTAAACAAAGTCCATCTCGCCACTGCCAAAGCACACTCCCTCTGAAATCCCGGCCTTGTCGTACCTCCATACGCCGAACTAAAGAAAGTATCATCGACAACAATAATAGTCTACAATGATTCCACGCTTTAAATGAAGCATTAAGACACATGAACACTTTTACCTCTGAACGTTTCGCCGACCATAAAATTCGGTTAATCGACATTTTGAATTCGAAAAGAAAAATTCGTCCAACCATCAAATATATGTTTAGATATACTTTATATATACATTAGATAAACATGACTTGACAATTCTCTATTATTAACCGTATAGTTATACATAAGATAAACAACATATAAACAATTTGAATTCGGTAGAATAAAATTACGATCCCGATTGGGAATAAAAAAAATTCGGTAGAGCAAAAATTTGGTTAATCGACATTTTGAATTCGAAAAAAAAAAAAATTCGTCCAACCACCAAATATATGTTTAGATATACTGTATATATACATTAGATAAACATGATCTGACAATTCTCTATTATTAACCGTATAGTTATACATAAGATAAACAACATATAAACAATTCAGAAAAGGGATTAAACATAACGTTAATTAAACAGAAAGTACTATCAGATAATACAAAGATTTGTAAACACAGGGAACTCGTCGAATAATAACCAAACTCGGCCACAAAATCGCTGGACAACTCGTAATCAAAATAGTGAGTCACTGGCACTCGTGACAGCATGAGGAGAAGAGGATACTACTCCAGATCGACGAAGACGTTCCAGCAAGGTGGCCGGACAGGCGGGCGCCGGCAGGCCACAATCGCGCACAGGCGTGGCCAACAGCAGCATCATCCCGTGAAGCCCAGTCCCAACCCACCAGCGATGCACAAGCCTAATATCTTGCGGCTTGTTTCGTCCAGCGTGGCCCAGAACACCTTCCAGGCGAGAAGATTACGTATCTAAAAGAAAAAATCGATGATTTTGAGGGTGTGGAGACCGATTTAAAGGCAAGCATAAAAAATTTGAGGAGAGTGCTCGACGAGAGGGACGAGATGTTGAATTTCATGAGCAAAGGCTGTTGTGAAGCGACAGTGATGGCAACATTAGTGGTGGAGAAAGCTATGGTGGCGTGGAATTGAGGTACGACTAGACGGGGTTTTTGGAGGAGGTGTGCCTTTTGGTAAGATTTTTTTTTATCCGTTTTGATTCCACTTTAATTAGCCTAAATAAAAGGGAGAAGTTATTTGAAAAGATACAAACATCCGTAATCTTGAAAATATTTATCCTTCAAAATTCTTTAATTGATAAAATTTCTGTATATATGAAAATAAGTCTTATATATGGTATAAAATTCCCAAACAAAATACACGACAAACTAACATTCACAGCGAAAAAGAACCCTTCGCAGCCACACTCCAAAACCCTATCCCCGCGCCGTGTTTTTGCGTCGGCGATTGAACTGGCAATGGACGACGTCTGCGAAGGCAAGGACTTCTCATTCCCCTCGCAAGAAGAGAAGATCCTCTCATGGTGGGAAGATGTCGGCGCCTTCAAGACCCAGCTCGAGCGCACCAAAGATTTCCCAGAGTACATTTTCTACGACGGCCCCCCGTTCGCCACCGGCCTCCCTCACTACGGCCACATCCTGGCCGGAACTATCAAAGACATCGTGACCCGGTACCAGTCGATGACTGGTCATCACGTGACCCGGAGATTCGGATGGGATTGTCACGGTCTGCCAGTGGAGCATGAGATTGATCTCAATTTGGGGATCAAGAGCAGGGAAGATGTGATTCGGATGGGGATTGGGAACTACAATGAAGAGTGTAGGGGGATTGTGCAGAGGTATGTGAACGAGTGGGAGAGGATCGTGGTTAGGATGGGACGGTGGATCGACTTCAAGAACGATTATAAGACCATGGATTTGAATTTTATGGAGTCTGTATGGTGGGTATTCTCTCAGTTATACAAGAAGGGTCTCGTCTACAAAGGTTTCAAGGTATTGAAGTGTTAATGTTGCTTAGTTCAACTTTTATCTACTTTTATTTTTGCTGTCATATGAAGATCATTTTGTGTATCCTCACTATATAATCTTTGTATACCTGTTTGTTGAACCTGCACATGGATCCGTATGCTGGAAATATGATTCTGATATATTATGTCCACTTTCAAAATTTATTTTCAATTGATGTTTGTACATAGTTATAAGTTGATAATTTTTGTGGTCTTTAACTTTGATATGGTGATTTATTGTTATCGAAGCTTGATTACCTATTTGAACCTTTTTGATAGATGTTGGCACTGAATGTTGGCAGCCTCCACGTCACCTGAATTTAAGTACTAAATATTATTTGTCAATACATTTTTGTTAAATTTTACATTTTAAGTTCAGTTTTCACTCTAGATTGTTTTTGGTATGATAGGTGTAGGAATATATCAACTTCATGCATGTCAAGGTTATATTGTGTAAACTTCATAGATGAATTGTCATTTTTGCAAGGTAAGACTCAAAGGAAGTCACACGTAAGATTGGCTTATAATGTATATTGCCCGCACAGATTTTTTGGTTGCTTAGAATCCATCTTCAACATGAGTTAGATTATAAATTATGGGAAAGCACAATCAAGAAATGGCAAAAGCTATCTGGAATTTGAGTACTAATTATGTTTTGTTAGAGTTGCACATCAGAAAGAGACCCCCATGATAAATTTCATTGAACCTTTGGCTATTATTCATGTAATTGTATGGCATTTATAGGGCAGCATTCAGTCGCTATCAAGAATTGTTTGAGAAAGTTAACAACTAATACGTACTCTCGGCCTATGATATGCTTCAAGGAAAAGTCACATAGATCAAGAAAGAATAATAATTGTACTTGGGAATATATATCTTTTGTTTATATTAGTCATATGCCCTTGCGTTGTATTCAATAATTACACTAACTTTAGTGTTGAAAATTATAGATTGGATTAATGACAAAGTAATTCAGGGTGCATATATCATTTTTTGCGTAAAAGGGAAAAAACCCATAACATGGGACACTTGAAAAAGGAAAACAAGCCGATCTTAGACGATCAGAGGATGAAGAGAATTGTTTATTTTACAAAGTATCAATTTTGAAGCATCTCTGAAAGAGTGGTGTGATTAAGCTCTACTGTTTAGGTAGACACATATTACTATTTTGGTTTAACTGCCACAGCCTTTGTTCACAATTTTGGTGTTCAACTGTTTTATCTCCAAATAAAATTTGTCTCTGATCTATAGACCAAATTCGACATAAAGATAGAGTTGTTGTAAGGCTATTTTAGATGAGCCTCTGAAGAAGTACAAATTTAGTTGTACTTCCATATGTCACTACTAGTCTTAAATGGCTGTTGTCTCTTTTGCAGGTTATGCCATACAGTACTGGTTGCAAGACACCATTGTCCAACTTTGAGGCTAACTCCAACTATAAGGAGGTTCCTGACCCTGAAATAATGGTGGCCTTTCCTCTAGTTGACGACCCAGATGGTGCAAGTTTTGTTGCATGGACCACAACCCCTTGGACCTTGCCTAGTAATCTTGCCCTCTGTGTGAATGCCAACTTTGTCTATTTGAAGGTGCGAAACAAGTTCAATGGAAAGACTTTTATTGTTGCGGAATCACGATTGGCTGAACTTCCCGTTGAAAAGGCTAAGAAAGGCTTGCCTGATGGAGCTGTTGGTGGTTCCGAAAACTCAAACTCGAAACCCAAGTCTTCCAGTGGTAAAGCAAAGACTGTCGATACATATGAAGTTCTTAGCAAGTACACTGGGGCCTCGCTCGTGGGAAAGAAGTACGTGCCTTTGTTCAACTACTTTAACGAGTACACTGATGTGGCATTCAAAGTCGTTGCAGACAACTATGTAACCGACGACAGTGGTACTGGAATCGTCCATTGTGCTCCCGCGTTTGGTGAGGATGATTACCGTGTTTGTCTGGAAAACGGCATAATCAGCAAGGGGGAAAACCTAATTGTGGCAGTGGATGATGATGGTTGTTTTACTGAGAAAATCGTCGAATTTAGCAAGCGGTACGTCAAAGATGCCGATAAAGACATCATCCAGGCTGTGAAAGACAAGGACAGGCTCGTCAAATTGGGAAGCTTCACCCACAGCTACCCCTTCTGCTGGAGGTCTGATACACCTCTCATTTACAGGGCAGTTCCCAGCTGGTTCGTGGCTGTGGAGACCATTAAAGAGCAATTGCTGGAGAACAACAAGCAGACTTACTGGGTCCCGGACTTCGTGAAGGAAAAACGGTTTCACAATTGGCTTGAGAATGCCCGAGACTGGGCCATCAGTCGGAGTAGGTTCTGGGGGACCCCTCTCCCTTTATGGATAAGTGAGGATGGGGAAGAAATTGTGGTCATGGACTCCATTGAGAAACTGGAAAAACTCTCGGGCGAAAAAGTGACAGATTTGCACCGCCACAAAATTGATCACATCACCATCCCTTCTAGTCGTGGGCCCGAGTTTGGCGTTTTACGGCGGGTGGAGGATGTGTTTGACTGCTGGTTCGAGAGCGGGTCCATGCCTTACGCCTATATCCACTACCCCTTTGAAAATGTGGAGCTATTCGAAAAGAACTTCCCAGGGCATTTCGTGGCCGAGGGTCTGGACCAGACTCGCGGGTGGTTCTACACTCTTATGGTTTTGTCAACCGCGCTTTTCGGAAAGCCTGCTTTCAGGAACCTGATCTGCAATGGGCTTGTGCTGGCTGAGGACGGTAAGAAGATGAGCAAGAGGCTGAAGAACTACCCGGCACCTGATGAGGTCATTAATGATTATGGAGCTGATGCATTGAGATTGTACATCATAAACTCTCCCGTTGTTCGTGCAGAGCCCATGCGGTTCAAAAAGGAAGGGGTGTATGGTGTGGTGAAAGACGTGTTCTTGCCTTGGTACAATGCTTACAGGTTCCTCGTGCAGAATGCGAAAAGACTCGAAGTTGAGGGACTAGCGCCTTTCGCTCCAGTCGATCAAGCGACTCTTCAGAGATCTTCGAACGTGCTCGACCAGTGGATTAACTCGGCAACTCAGAGTCTTGTCCATTTTGTAAGGCAAGAAATGGACGCTTACAGGCTGTACACTGTGGTTCCTTACCTATTGAAGTTTCTGGACAATTTGACCAATATATATGTTCGGTTCAACCGGAAGAGGCTGAAGGGTCGAACTGGGGAGGAGGACTGCAGGACTGCCCTCTCAACTCTTTATTATGTGCTTCTAACTGCATGTAAATCAATGGCCCCATTCACGCCGTTCTTCACAGAGGTCCTCTATCAGAACCTGAGAAAAGTTAGCAAAGGATCTGAAGGAAGCATTCATTACTGCAGTTTCCCAACTGTGGAAGGGAAAAGAGGGGAGCGTATTGAAGAGAGTGTCAATCGTATGATGACCCTCATTGATCTCGCAAGAAACATTCGCGAGCGCCATAACAAACCTCTCAAAACACCACTTAAGGAGATGGTGATTGTGCACCCTGATTCCGATTTCTTGGATGATATTGCTGGCAAACTGAGGGAATACGTTCTCGAGGAGCTTAACGTGAAATCCCTAATCCCATGCAATGACACCTTAAAGTACGCCACCTTGCGTGCAGAGCCCGATTTCAGTGTTCTTGGTAAAAGGCTCGGGAAATCTATGGGAGTTGTAGCCAAAGAAGTGAAATCCATGTCGACAGAGGACATTCTGGCATTTGAGAAGGCAGGTGAGATCAGTATCGGGCCCCACGTCTTGAAGCTTAGCGACATCAAGATTACTCGGGAGTTCAAGGCGCCAGACAACATCAAGTTAGAGGATATGGACGCAAAAGGAGATGGCGATGTTTTAGTGGTGTTGGATTTAAGGCGTGATGATTCCTTGTATGAAGCAGGTGTTGCTCGTGAGATTGTTAACCGTGTTCAGAAGTTGCGGAAAAAGGCTGGACTCGAGCCAACTGATTCGGTCGAGGTCTTTTTTAAGTCATTAGATGAAGATGATAAAATCTCCAGGGATATTCTGGAATCACAGGAGGTTTACATTAAGGATTCGCTTGGGTCGTTATTACTCCCTTGTGCTGTGATGCCGCCTCACGTTGTGGTTTTTGCTGAGGAGAGATTTCATGGGATCTCGAATTTGTCCTTTGCCATCTATTTGGCTAGGCCAGCTCTGGTGTTCAATCAGGAAGCTGTGGTTGCTCTGTATGGTGGGAATACCAAGTTTGCGCATTGTTTGCAGGTTTATTTGTTGAGCAGGGACCATCATAATTTGAAGTCGGAGTTTCAAGCTGGGAAAGGTAAAATTGTGGTGGGTTGCATTGAGGATGTGCCTCAAGTGGAGGTAGTGTTGGGTCAACACTTGTTTTTGACTGTTGGTGATTATTTCTTGAGCAAAAGAGGGGCTATTTGACTTATGTTTTTGTATTCTGGATTGTTGTTGAGCCTGTATGCTCATCTAGACAGGTGAGTGTAATTTTTAATTAAATTTTCATTTTATGACTTATAAACTACACAAGGATAGAAGTACATGGCTAGCAGACTGGCACGGTTGTTGCTGATTTGCTCTGTTTTGTATTCGCCTTTCTTAAGTTATGCCAATGAAATTGTTTTGCTTTTTTCGTCCGTCTTTATCTTTTGTTCTTTAGTTTTTCCATATTATCATACAGAGAAGACTGGCCCACAGTGAAAGCCAATTTAATAAATAAGCACTTGCCTTGATGCATAGCGGGCTACAATTTGTTCTTCTCATTACTGCATCCAATTCTTCTGGTAATTGACATGTATAAATTTATCAAATTCTAGTAAATTGATGATGTCAAACAGATTCTGCCTTTCCTATATGCAATTACGTGAATGTACAAGTTCTTATTCTCAATTTTTGACTAATTCGTGGAGGAAAGTGAATTGTACGTTCGTGGTCATTATATTTATATTCAGTTGTTACCAAAACTTTCTTCCATTTCCTGTTTCGTCTTTTCATTTCTTTCCTTTTCCTGAATATAAATAAAAAAAAGTATACAAGCTCACCTAGATTGATGACCTTTTATCATCAATTGTTTCAAATCCTCACTTGACCAGAATCAGGGTCCTTACTCCTTACTCGAGGTACAAACTGTTGAACTAAAGTGCAAAACCTCACAGAAACCGTCCAAATCTGGGGGCAAATGTGGATCTTATAACCCATCTGAAGACTAATCATATACTGGCTCGCAACTCAACATTGTAAGATATTGTACGAATATTGAGCACAAAAACGATGGAAAGAAATAAGTGATAAAACACAAACATAATAAGCAACAATAATGGTAACGTGCTGGAAATAGATGTGATGATAAGGAAACATGCCACGACGAGTGCATTGACACTGAACAACAATTAGATATCAAATCCGAGTTCCAAAAGCTTAGGCAACAATTTGCATGGAACGACACAACATATTCGGTAAATTTTAGCCCCTTATGACTTCCTCGAATTTATAATGTTCCTAGCAGCGTCCAATGTTAATTCTTCATAAACCTGAAATATTATAATATAATGAGGGCAGGCTCAACTCTGAGTCGTTAAGAAACTATCAGAAAAATGGGCGGAACCAGCCTACATATGATTGTAATTGAGACTTTCCAAAGTCTGATCAATTTGTTACACTTACGAGTTTCTTATAAACTTGTTCAAATATCTTGCAGAACTTTTCTGCATCAGCCGCACCCACCTGCAAAAACCGTAAACTATGTTATTGTATCATAATAACTCATTTAACTATAAATTTAACACGTAAGCTTAAAGACCCTTTAGAACCCTGAGGTTGTAATATGAAGGGAAAAAATGGATCTGAGGAGATAATTTGTGATAATAATACCAAATGACTCCATATAGTAAGAATATGAAATCGATCACCAGAATGATTAATAAAATTGATCGAAATAAGAGCCTTACTGATTTGAATATTTGTTGTATCCAAAACACTGGTTGAATATTAATTAACTTCATATTCTTTACTTCAAATTCTTCCATTCATAACAAAGCCTTGGGGATATACCTTATTATTAATGTAGCATTAGTAACAAAAACACCAGCCTGCAAAGACTAAGCATACCTTCTTCTCAGCAGCTGACTTCAGTTTTCCCCAAAATGCTTCTGTTTGCATAAAAATGATTTAGTAAAATTCTAGAACAAAGATAATTTTGACCAAACTGCATCTCAATTCCATGCTAATAATGCTTTTTGCTGATTTTACACGCATTACTCCACATTTTCGAGATAATGACTTTGTAGATACAGAAAAAATTAATACAAAGTACTCCATTCAGTTTTCAGTACCAAGATTAAAGTGAAGAGAAATTATGGAAGCTGTGAATGCATATACAATGAAATTTAGGGGATACTAATAACAACAATAAAACAGCATGTTAACATGATTACTATGGCTCGTTGAAATATTTCAATTTTCAATGACTAGGCAACTAGAACTAATAACTACCATACACTTATCTGATTAAGATAAACAATTAAATAATATCTGTAGTGTAAGAAAATCGATTTGGTATTAAATAAAAATTTATGTCCCTTAAATATTTTATTGTTTTGGAAACAAAGCAAGTGAATATGAGAAGATTGTGACATCTCACCTTGTCGGAGAAAGAATGATCTCAGAGAATAAAAGAAGCATTCTAATTCATATCATATGAAGGGAAGGAAAAAAAAAGAGGGATAAAGGAGAAATTGGCTCTATTGCATGCTCTTCGACTACCATGAAAACGAGTTTCTCTTACTAAACCCATTAATTAATGGAAAAGTAACACAAGATATCCAATGCTAAGATGACACACCATGAACGTTGTCTCTAAAGGTATCTGAACCTCTTTTGTCCTCGTCATTCCATGCATCTTGCCATTCCTTTACCTGAGACCATTTCTTAATATTACCTAACAGCAGGTTACAAAAATCTAGCAGCAGTATACACAATAATAATCATGCAGCACCTCTCTATTTGGTTCAGACCGAGTTACTTGACTTGAAGAATCCGAATCTGCCTGAAAATTCAACTCGATTGTTAAACTATTCACATGAACTTGAAATCATCGGTATGCATACATGGAGATTCAAGAAAGACAGGTAAAGAGAGACAAAGTAAAACAACTCGGGCTATAAACTGCGTTAATCAGGCAATTAGGTTTACTTTTCATACAAAAGTTTTGTTCCTTGATCGACTTTTTTCAAAACCTAATTTTTGAAGCATTAATGAAGCTGCAGGCTACATGCAATGGCACAGACACTTGTTCAATACGCAGAAAAATCTTTTCCCCATTAATGCCTACCAGGGACCCAAATGAAACACCAAATTGAAAATCTTACAGCCAAGAAACAATATTAAGATTGTTGAAAGAAAACAAATACTAAGCATTAGACCCTAAAATTCAAAATAAAAATCAGAACTTTCTCAGGAATGGCAAAATCCAACTACTCAATCAACGAAAGCTCATAGCCAGTAAAGCCTTTGCAGTAAGAGGTTCAAGAATTTTATGGAAAATTAGTAAATGAACAACTAACAAGCATCTAATACACACGGAATACTATGATTTTTGCGCTAGGTTTTATCGGTGTACTAACACCTGCAAACATGTGAACGCTTACGATATAATCTCGGGATCGGACGACGGGGAAAAGCTCGAGTAGCTGCCTGAATTCAGCCTCGTCCATGCGAATTTCTTGTGTTGTGTCCTGGAGTTTCGACTCAAATTGTTGGTATTAAAGAAAGATGCTTGAACCTTTGCTACGATGTTCTAAGCTAAATAGGGATGTTTTGTTGTCTTTTAAGTTGAAATCGAGACTGAGAGACGGCCTTCTGTAAATAAAAATATATACTATGCTTTATATTTTTAATTTATGTAAATTTTAAATTATAATATTTTTAAATATATATTATATTTGTTTAATGGAGCGGTAGAAGGACCCTAAAAAACAAGAAAGGATAAAATTTTTATAATCTATCTGTATGTACTAATGTACATAAAAGAAAAGTTGATGCTGTATATAAAAATCATATATCTCTTCATCAAAATCAACTAGTATGTACCCAGAAATAATATTAAATTAACAATATTATAAATAGATCTCGAATTTGAGTCAATGGAGGAAGTGAAAACTACTTTTGATCCTATTTAAAAAGAGGAAGAAAAAAAATAATTATAAATAAAAGAGGAGGATAAAAAATACTTAATAATTATAAATTAAATATTCGGGGTCAAACAATGTAAAATTATTTTGTATAAGAAAATATAAAAAAATTTGATTACACACCATTTCAAAATTATTATTATACTTTTTTGTATGGTTAACTTAGAATATTTGTAAAAATATTAGTAACTAGATCGATGAAAATTAACTTCTTAAAGTAGATGATGGATTTCTAGTAGTAATTATGAATTGATTTCTATTTTATTTTATTTTTTCTTTTTAAATATAATGGATTTCTAGTAGTAATTATGAATTGGTTTCTATTTTATTTTATTTTTTCAAATCTGTATAGATAAGGGATGAGATTTTTTAAACATGTAAGATCGTATGCAATGGATTTTGGAACAGAAGAGATAAACTCGTGTAAATTTATACTAAAAATAGGAAAAAGAAACACAAATATTTATTGTCAACACGATAAACTAAGAAACCGAAAAAAGAGAAACAAATCTTTACACAATTGAGCTGATTTTTTTGCCTATTCAGATTTGTCCAACAATTACTATATATAGGATATATTTAATGATTTTGGCGGGAAAATGTTTTTAAATTTGTAAAAAGGTTATTCTTTTTAAATAATGATAGATATGTTAAGATATAAAATATTATATTTTTATTAAAATTGATCATCATATAAAATATTATATTTTTAATTTGATTATTAAAATACAAGATTACTATAATAAATTTCAAAAATTCATGTATGAAAGCAATAAATATTATATATATAATTCAAAAGCTAATTTTATCAAATAATTACAAATTGGTATATTAAATTCAGTTACTATTCATATCAATATGAAAAAATATTATCAGAAAAAAAACCACAGTTTAAGTTACCAAATATATAATGAAGCAAATTCATAGTTTGCATTATCAAATAAACAGAAATTCTATGGAGTGATTTTTTGATAGAGTCATTCATCATTTAATGTATTGACACATGTTCAAAGTATATTTACACACTATTTCAAATAAATATAAGATAGTTTAATTAGAATCGTCATGAAAGTTCTGGTGATTCCTAAGTTCTGGTGTTGCACATTGTCAGTTAAATAACATTGTATAATTAAAAGTTGCTCTTATATAGCCATTCGCAAATCAATATATTTATACACTTTTCTCAGATGCATTTTAAAAAATTTTAAAATATAAAACTTTTTAAAATTTTACTGATTTAATTGGAATTCTTGAAAATCTCAAAATTGAAAGATGTGGAATTTTCCGATTTCGTATACATATTTTATCTTTAAAACTAGCGCGTAGCCCGTGCGATGCACGGTATGGTATATTTTCCTGAAATGTTTAACGTGTGAAATATTAAAAATAATATAATTTATATATATGTAACAAATATAAATGGATTGCAAAGATGGACAAAAAAATATAAATTATTGAACACTTTCTTTGTGAAGTAAAATTTGTGAAGTTTTGATATATTGATTATGAATAGAAAAATATGAAATACTACCTGCTGACCGTTGAGATAGATGAGAAGATTTACTTAGAATATATAGAATAAATATTGAGATAATGATTTACCTTTTACCTAGTATATATAAAATAAATATTGACATGATGTGGGAAAATTATGACGAATTATGACATAAATTCGTTTAGAAGTTAGTAGAAAATATTCAAAAATTAAATTTATTTTTTATTTTTTAAATCCTTACAGTAATTCGTACGCTCCTTTTCATACGCTTAATTTATCAATTTTACACATACAAATCAAAATTAATGCAACTCGAAATATTATATAACAAATAAAATGAGATTTTTTATCTAACATTTAGTATATTGCCGGAAAATCTTTTATAAATCTTATTCTCTTTGTATGCACATAGATATTAAAGAATGAGTAAAAAAATTATCTAAATACGTTTAAAAGTATCTAATATTATATGTGTTAACAATGTTACAACCAAAAGACATTAAGAATACGTAGACTATTATATAACATATGTGAAAGTATTAAAATATTTTATATTATTATTGAAAAATATGAAATTACCTCAATTTTGTCTAGACTATTTTATAAGAAAAATATATATACTTAAGCATACACACATATATATATCCTTAAAATTTGCCCAACTAACATGTTTAAAAGTATATACAATTTTATATATAAAAACACGTTTAAAGTTTACATATTTTACAAAAATTAGACTGCTCTCAGTTTATATAAAGTTTGTTGCTCTCATATTCGGATAACGCATTTAATGAAAGCACCCTACGATACAAAATTTATAAATATTAATTAAAATAATTTTCTAAAATATATAAAATTGAAATAACAAAGGTAAATATTACCTGTTCATCATGAAAATGCGTTACAGCTCTCTCGTTTCAATAATGCGGACTGCTTTCACACGCAAAAAAAGGTTTCTTTCTTTTGTTAACGGAATCAAGTGTACGTACCCCATATTGTCGATGTGAAGAATTGGTCTCTGTATTTTTTTCTTCTCTCAACTCGTGAATGATGAGCGATGTGAAGAATTGGTCTCTGTATTTTTTTCTTCTCTCAACTCGTGAATGATGAGTTGTAATGGTGGAAGTGAATATTTTTTATACAATTTTTTTTTCTGCACGTTTCAATTGACCGAAAAAAAAATGGAAGATATTGTTTTTATTCACCAAAAGTGATTGAAGATAATTATGGATTGTATTTGGATAGATATTAAATTCCATGATTTTTGGGATGCAACAACAAAATATGCAATCATATGTATATATCTTATCACGTTAAGAATATATCCATTGCTAAAAAAAGGGGAATATCTAATGCCTTAATTAACGGAATTATCAATTTCGTATTCCATTATCACAATTATTTTTAAAATTTGAATGAGACTACATAAATAGAAAGTCAAAAGTCAACTCAATTTATTTTAGGTTTCTAAAAATGATTTTTACATCAACCCTTTTAGATATATATAGATATAGATATCAGTAAGTTTAAAAAAAATTCAATACTCCAGTATCAAAATTTCACAATCCAAAATAGGTGGGATTACTAAAATCCATTCAGCATTTCCCAAAGGCATTCTGCAAACCCACATTCCCCTTGTGTTTTTCAACAAGCTCTACAGAAAGCAACTGCATAAATGTGTATATATATATTCTCAAATGGTTACACATATGCTGTCAATTTCTCTTGCAGCAATCGGACCAACATACACGAATTGCATACAGTAATTATAATAACAATAATAACAATAATAATGATAATGCACTGAAGAACAAGTCCAAGGGCTCGAAATCTTCAAATAACACTTAAACGACACGCGTGCGCACGACTAATCAGACGCATTAACATTTTTTTGGCGCGCGGCCCAATGCAACAGCTGTCTTAGAGCTCGACTGACGGCCTAAATACCCGTTTATATACTCTCCGGCCAACAAAAGCTTGTCCAAGTCAACATTGGTCTTCACCCCAAGGCCGTTGAGCATGTACACAACATCCTCTGTGGCAACATTACCTGAAGCCCCTTTTGCATACGGACAGCCTCCAAGACCCGAAACTGACGAGTCAACAGTGCTAATTCCCATCTGTTATTTTCACTACATTGTTTGCATAAATGCAGTAATAAGAGAAGATATTAACAATAAACGAATAGTAAGTTGGTTACTCACTTGGAGGGACAAAAGGATATTAGGAAGGGATTGGCCGTAAGTATCGTGGAAATGAACGGCAAGTTTCTCAATCGGGACAACTGCCATTACTGCTTCAAGCATAGGGAGAACACTACCTGGGCCAAGATGATACGGATTCTTCGTCGTGAGTTAGAAAAATTGCAAGAATATCAAACTAAAAGCAGAAAATTGTGAAACATGTTTGGTTAATCGTCTCATTAGTTTTTAATTGTCAGAATATAAACTACTACGGCTATGTTTGGTAACCAAATAAACTAGCTTATAAGCTCCCTGTATCCAAATAAACTTGACTTATCTCATAAACTTGTTTAGGTAGCTTTTCAAATAAGCTAGTTGAAAATTTTTATTTCAGCTAGCTTTTCAGCTATAAGTCACAAGCTATAAGCTATAAGCTAGAAATTTCCCGATAAGCTATAAGCTAGCTTATCAGCTAGTTTTACCAAACATAGTCAATTCTATAGCCTAAGAAAAGGAGAAAGAATCCAAGGGCCAGGAGGACCTCAAAATATTTCGAAATCGTTAATTTTTTAAAGACTTCACGCAATTTGTATATTTAGCACCATTTTGCTTTCCAGAATAAGTTTCTGCCGATCTTCCTCAAATAACCTTTGCAAACTCAAAAGTATGTTTTTAGACAATTATTACCAGGTGTAGCAACTCCTATTGTGTCTCCAAGTGAAATCTCGAAACAGCCCATGTTATGAAGCTCCCTTGCCACATAAGCAACTTTCGAAGGAGTGATATATCCTTCGACCGGGCAGCCAACCACACAAGACACATACCTGTTCAATGTTATCAACCAATTTTAACACAGCAAGAATGCAGAAATGTACCCTTTGCTTTTGAAACTGTTGAACCCATATAAACTCAATTTATTACAAACATAACAATCACAAACAAGAAACTAAAACGAGTTGTCATGACTGTTCTAGTAGCTGCCAATATTGCCAAGTAGAATAATCGGCAAAAGGTTCAATGTCAGCTAATGCACTGCATGAGTCTATTGGTGGTGATTAAGCAATTAAATACAAACCAGGACTTGAACAATGAACAAATAATTTACATGATACAAGTGGAGAGAACATTTTCGTACCCACGCACGGGAATTGAGAGTTTTTTGGCAGCAGAAATTACAGCTCGATATCGAGCTAAGCTCTCTTCAATGCTGCAGTTAATATTCGACTTCGAAAAGGACTCGGAAGCTGATGCAAAAACAGCTACTTCTTTTGCACCAGCTGCAACAGCAGCTTCGAAACCCTGAAGGTTGTTCATATAAATTATCAGATCGTTTTTTTCTTTTTTATTATTTAAAAATACTAACGAACTTTCTGGACTAATAAACTTGGATCGTAACTTTCACCTACCTTAAGATTAGGTGTGAGTGCAGGCAATCTAACACCTCCCAACTTCTTAACTGCATCCATCACATCCTTTGCATCCGCCAACTATGTTAGCCAAATAACAAATACAAATTAATTCANAAAAAAGGAAAAAATGATGAGTGACTTTTTTTGGTAAGAATTAATCACCTGAGGTACCCATTTTGGTGAAACAAAACTGGTAGCCTCAACAACAGATAACCCTGATGAAACTAATTTACGGATCAAATTGACTTTGACTGATGTTGGGACAATTGTCTTCTCATTTTGTAGACCATCCCTCGGGCCAACCTCAACTATCTTCACAAATATTGGCATGTCTTTAAAAAGCTACAGTATGAAGAAAAATTGTCGCTCAATAACACAATTAGACATAAGCCAAGATAGCAAAGATAGCACAATAGCCCATTGGAGAAAATTCAAGAAGCGTATTATCAATCTTTGTATTTTCATTGAAGTACCTTGAATTTTGAATCTCTCTTGTAACTGCCATTGCAGTCCGAACAATATGATTGATTATAACCGGACAAATAGCGGAAATTGCTCATATTTCCACAGGCCACAGAACTCCTACCAAGGCTTGAAGTCCTCTGCAATGAGATTTTCTTTTGTCTTCCCCATGCAATAGCCTCTTGCGTGTACTCCTCAAAATCTTCCCTGTATGTAAAATATTTGAAAATGAGTGGACAAGCAAAGAACACCAGAATTTTCTAGAGACTAATGTTCACAATTGTCTTTCCAATTGCAGTTCTCTCATATTAGGAATTGCTTTACAGATGATTGTGTTGGCTCGGAAGATTGTTTTGGAAAAATTAGCACATATCAATTTAAGCTCGAACGTTATATTTGTGTAATTTCCTAATTAGCAGATGGCCCTATCCGTAAAATCATTACAACTCATACTCTTTCTAAATCCAAGATCATTGAATCTGCTTGGGAAAAAAATGGTGCATTTTAATCACTTGAAATTTCTAATTAATTTGCAATGTACTAAGGCTGGGAAAGCTGAAAAGAATCGTACAGATGGATAAAAAACTTCATATACGATGAAATTGTAACTAGTAAGGCAAACAAGATGCAGCAACATGTTGTATTAAGAAGTCCCAAAGTAAAAATAAAAAAGAAAAGGAAATAAAAATTACACCACTTACTCGCAGCTATTAGATGAGCTGCAACTTCTTCCTTCAATCCAGCAGTTGCCCATCCCCATGTCCTCTCTGATAGGCCTGCAAGCACTGGATGAGAACCCATACAGTCGATCGATATTGCTCAAGCTTGGCAGCTTATCAAGACCAAGCGGCTCCTCTAAACTCGACATCCTGGAAACACGTGCAAGTGAATCTAAAGAAAATTAAAAACTGAAGATATATATTGGTAAGCAGAAATAGGAAATCGCAATATTGAAGATCAGAAGCTTAAGAGACTTAAAAACTGCAGACATCCTTATATTGCTTTATACACCATTATAAGGACAGATCAAGAAAATGAGAGAGTTTCAAATGGAATTCATTATTGATTCCCATACATTTCACATAAAATGAATTCCCACTTGAAATATTAAAACCGAAACACAAAATTCACTCACTTCACAATAGAAACAAAAACTCTACCAACCGAAAAAAAAAATATTGGGCATAGCAAGGGAAAAACTCGTCCAAGTTATACAGTAAACGACACCCGAGTTTCTATATATCCTACTACAGCCCATTTAATTCATAGACAGCTCGCGTAAATGGAAAACGGTAAAACACACACAGTCAAGCCACAAGAATCGTCAGCCCCATATATTTCTATCCAAAAAAAAAGCAACAGAAACACAATGCAATCTGAGTCTAATTCAGAAAGAGAGTATACAACAACATTGGTTATCGATGCCATTATTTTGACCACTATACAAACCAAGTCGACAGATTAAGTAATGATTATCGAATTAGTAAGAGATTTAGCAGTTATGTGAAGGAAATCACTAGAACACATGTCAAAACACCCAACAAAAAGGTAATGTGTGGCTCATCACTTAGCATTCAAGTAAAATGAATTTAATCAAACAAAATAAGTATACTCGTGAGTCCCAATCTTCCCGGACAAAATTTTACACGTGAAAAGGTTTGTGGAGCTCGTACGAGACCTGGAAAATTCCAAATTATTTATTTTTAATCATTTTCCTTTAAGAGGATGGCTGATTTAAAAAATAAAAATCTATTGATCTCAATTCTTTTTAAGAACGGTGAATCCACACACTCAAGTTGATTAAGCCCTCAATTTCCTTCCAGTAGAGGAACCAAAAAAGCCCAGAAAACCGAAAACAAATATAGCAACAAACAATGACAAGACATACCTTAAACCAATAAAAACAGAGGACAAAATTCGGAACCTGAGCAAATGGAAATAGAATCTAAGGAAAACTCGATANCCGAATATTCCGGTATATAGGGTTTTGGAAGCTTTCTGAAAGACGAGGTAAAACGCGCAAGGAATAGAAGGAGTTGTTGGCCTGTGTGGACCGAATGGTGAACAACAAACGTGACGGAGAATTTTGTCAAAGTTAGATATGGAGCTGTGTTTCCCAACTATTTTTGTAGGTTTGACGGCGTCAATTGGGTTTGGAGGCTGTCCTTTTCATAAGTAAATTTTCTTGAGGTGCGGGCATTAATTCAGACCAGTTAGAACTAAGAATAATGTGTGTCTGAGAGAGAGGGTGGTAGGTAGTTTTCAGTTGGAAGATGACTGATTTCCTACAATTCATAAATTCCCATTGGGTGTATTTTCTGTTATAAAACTAAAGGGAGAAAAGATAGATAATAGAGAAACTGTATTCTCGTAGGTGTATTTTTCATTATAATTGAAGTCCCTATTTATAGGAAAACTTCTGATGGTACAATCGTAATAATACAATTACATCAGGGACAAAATAGTCATTCACATACATTAAAATAATAACACGAGGTGCATGCACACCTTATATTACAACACTCCCCCTTGAATGACTATTTCTTAAACATATTTTAACTGATTTGAACAAAGCTCAATCTGCACATCTTCAAGTGTATCTTGTGGCCATCAGGTACCGTTGCTTCAGCATGTCAGGAAAACCCGGTGGGACAAAACCTGATCATTGTGAAGTCATAACTTTGGTTCTTCAGGAAAACCCGGTGGGACAAAACCTGAGCATTGTGGAAGCACAATATTGCTCTCCCTCAAATAAATCATCTTTAGTGGAGTATTCACGTGCTGCCTCGTTAAAACCTTGTCAAGAAAACCCAGTGGGAAAAAACTTGATCGAAGGAAAAAGAGTACAGCTACTCCAGTCTCTCTTATTATCGTGAGGAATCATATCATTTATCCAGTAGTCCTCATCATACCATGAATATGCCTTGTTAAAACCTTATTAGGAAAAACCCAGTGGGACAAAATCCTAATGAAGGAAAAAGAGTACACTATTCATGTGAATACGCCATCCATGTTGCCTCATTAAAAACCTTGCTAGGAAAACCCAATGGGACAACCTCAGCCAAGAGAAAAAGAGTACGACGCGTATTCCATATATATTCACCATAATAATCTTACCATAATATGCATGAGTGTCATATACATTCGTTCAGATTTTCGGATACTGATGGTATTCATGATAATATGCCATATCATGCTTTGTGCAACTTTTATTTTTAAAACCCATTCTCATCATCAATTGATTTCAATGGTCTTATTGTCAATAGTTCCAATTTCAGCTGATTTCATTATTGTCAATATCATTTATATAGCGCTATCCATTTGTTTGTGTCGACACTTATTCATTTCCATTATTCTCCGTAGTATATTGAGATATCTTATTATCAATTGATTCCATCAATGGTATATATATGCCTCATTTCATCACTTATTTGGGGGATTTCAATTTGCACACTATCAACGCTTACAGCGTATTATTCCACCATCATATCATTTCATATATTTCACCATCATCAGTATCATACAATTTATGATTTGCACAGTTTCAGTGTGATGCATATATCATTTCCAAATTTCACTCATTGATTCTCCCCCTCATCTTAATAGATCCCTGATCTGTATTTTCAGTATTGAATTTCTTGAGGGGAGTTCATATAATCTCCATTTCGTTCTCGATTTCAACAAATATTTAGAGGACTTTGAACTCATATCATTTGTAATGTGCACATTTTTCTTTCAATAGTTTATCATATCAGGTGAGTATATTACTAGCTTCATCACTTGTTTTCATTCTTTCATAATCATCTTGTGTCATTCTTTGATCAAACCATCTTGTAACTTCAGGTTACGTGTTATATACACATTTTTGATCAAATCATCTCGTAACTTCATGTTACGTGTCATATATTCATTATTTGATCAAATCTCGTAACTTCAGGTTACGAATCACACACATGTGGCTATCTAGTGGATCCATAATATCTAGTAGCACACATAGAGGGGTAGTGGGCCCATATATATCGTACCCCTTTCATACTCAGATTGATCAAATATCGATTCACAAATATTTAGCTAGTAATATTTTTTCACCAATCGAGAACAAGCATCTCATATCACAAAGAATAAGTTCATCATGCAAACCATCATCAATAATATTGGCAAACATTTTTTTTTAAAATGATCACAATAATTCGTTGTGATACGTTTATCACAAACATTTCACATCATCATTTGGCGGTAATAAATGCACTTTAAGTGTAGGCTCTGGCACAATATCTTTTAGCCACTGTTCTAATCCAGAATCGTATCATGCCGTCTGACACACATACTTTTGAACACTGTTTAAGTCTACAGTCGTATCTCATACGCATCATGTTTTTCTATAAATTATCAGGTAATTCATTCAATTTTCCTTAACAAAGGTCCGAATTTACAAATGGATTTAGCATTTTCAAACATCCGTAAATATTATTCTTTCCTTCCGAAAAATATCATAAAAAGGATTTATCGATCTCGATTAGAAAGATTGAGGATGCTAATGAATAATGGTATTCCAAATGATGTTCGATGGTTGATCGAAGCACAAGTTCGATTGTCTGGAGAGTTTCCTTATTAATATAAATATATGCCAGGTATGGGTAAAAGTACTTTTGCAAAGAAACGAAGAGCAAAAAGATTAGGTGGATGCTTCAAATGCGCTCGATGGACTTGTGACACACGATGTAAATCTGTGGGGTTCGTGTCTAAAAATCGAGAAGATAAAATAACATTTATAAAGGATGGATTGAGTAAGGAGTCTCTGGATCAAACGATTCAACAGATTCTTGAGACACATCCTAGTGGGTATGTGCATCGTGAGCTTATGTCTTTATGGACTCAGTTCAAAGGTGAAGAAGAACGCTATAGTCGTGAAAATATTATTTCAAAAGATAAAGTTTGTAAAACTGGTCTTTTTAGTACGAAAAATCATACTAATACAGTTTAGTATGTTGCACTGTAGTTTTCTAGAAAAACTTATAGCTGCCGACAGATAAGATTTATTTAAAACCCCATGCCTTATCTGTCGGTCGCAATTGTCAGAAGAAAAACAGTACAAGTATTTATCGTTTTGTAAAAACTTTCCTTTAAATAGCGACTCATTCATCATAATCATATATCTCATAAACTTTTGAAAAATTCAGTTTATCAATAAATAGATGGATGTTTCAGAGTCTTCGCAAGGTAATAATTTTCTTCCACCAATCAAAACCATATGTGTTCTTGGTGGTTCTAAACTGGTAAGTTTTTCTCAAACTATTGATATTGTAGGCCAGTTAGTAAAAGAGATGGGGAATCAGAAAATCAATTTGCTGTATGGAGGGACTAGCAATACTTTCTATGATAGTCTCTTAATGGCTGGACAATGTTTTGAGATAGAAGTGAAAAGTATCATACCGTTTCGTAAAGCTTCAACGAGGGTCGTCAAGGATTCCACAAGCATGATGCTAACTCATTCTATTTATGATTATATGATGGATATGGTGAACAATAGCGATGCTTTTATCATTCTTCCAGGCGGTTATGGAACGCTAATGACAATGTTCACCATTGCTTCTTGGGCAGAATTGAAACTTCATACCAAGCCCATAGGTCTATTGAATTTTAATAACTTCTTTCATGGTTTGTTTGGATTTTTAGACATAGGAGTATATCAAACCTTTATATCTCCTTCAATGAGAGAAGTATTCAAATCTGCTGACACGTCTGCTGAGCTTATCAAAAAGCTTCAAGAATGCATCACATTTCAAGATTCTGTGGAAACACAAGGAGTTAAGCGAAAAAGATCTTTTGATCCTTTAGATCTTTCATTATGAACCCAGACATCATTCATGGGTGGCAGAGTTACGGAGTTTTATACTCTCGAGACGCACCCTTCTTTTATGGGTTCTATTATGTAATATTTTTCGCATTTTGTATTTATCGAGGATTCACTACTACTTATCCATGTTTCCATCATTTGAACCTTCTGTACTTGTTCCCATTAATAATATCAATGTCACTTTTTCTCAAGATAAGTGTGTAGTACATGACTACAATCATTATCATATGTGCTTCTTTCTGGAGCACTTTATTGTAATATCTATATGATCTCGAATTTCAATGTAATTTTATCATTTGACATAGTCACTTAAACTCATATAACATATTGAGAAATCATTTTGTATGATCATCCATAACTGGTAACTTTTGGTACCGTTTTCTCATTTTGTTCAATCATACAATGGTAGCTTCTGGTACCATTTCATCACTTTGTTTAATCATAACGTGGTAGCTTCTAGTACCACTATACCGGGATAACATTTAATCATTATGTCGTAACTTCCGACATCACATTAATCATGTGGTAACTTCTGCTACCATCACATCAATATTCATATCTCTATAAATTTAGAGAATTTATCAACTGATATTTCAGGATTAGGTTAGTCCATATAATGTTTGTTCACGACAAGAACTTTAATTAACTTTCACATGGCCAAATACAAAGTATTATTAATTTCACTCATCGGCTATCACTTACTTTGTACTGCCCGTCGCCGGCGGCCGAGCCGCACTGGCCGGCGCATGTATATATAGCCATTCATATCCTTTTATATGTATATTCGTTGCACATGGCCTTATCATGGCCATTCCATATCACTGATTATCATTATCATTTGGCCATCACCGGTCATCATTATTCAGTACACTCATCATCTGGCCATCACCTGTCATCATTATTCAATACACTGACCGGTTCACTTAGTTGTTCAAATCTTATTTCGGTGAATACATTGCTCGGCTATTTCACATGATTTTTCATATTTCAATAGTTGACCCGTCGGCTACCATTAAATATTACCTGCCAGCGGCAGAGTCGCACTGGCCGGTCTGTATAGCCACACGTATTTATTTTCATATCACACGGGTCAATCCGTAAATATCC